CGTCAGCCGCCACGACATATATCGAGCGCTAGCAGAGCGACGTTGGAATAAGAGGGAAGAAACATTGCATTCGTACATATTGGCGATGCAATCCATCGCGAAGCAAGGAGGCATTGAAGACATAGAAGTATTAAATTTCATTTTCGATGGCATAAGCGGCAGTGTTGCCAACATAAATTTGCTGATGACTGCGCAAACCTTAAGCGAACTCAAGAGGCTCATCAATCGTTATTACGATCGCTACTTGAAATTGGATTCAACCATTACCCCTCGCCGTTCGGCAGTTAGTACAGTAAAGCCTAAAATGTCGAATACTGCCGTGAAACAAGCTGCCACTTCCGACAAGGAGACGCATGAAACTCCTTTGTGCTACAATTGCTCCAAAAGAGGACACATAAAACCGAACTGCCCTTACCCTGTACGCCCCGAGGGATCATGCTTTCGCTGTTGGCAAGTAGGCCATAGTCACCAGTCGTGCCCAAACCCCCGGAAGATTTTGAAACCCATGGGAGAGCGAGCTGTTGCTGCCGTACACGATTGGAAGAGCTGCTGTGATGAAGTAGAATCATTAAGTCTGGTAAGTGTTGCCTTTTCACATAAGTCGGTGAGCAGTGCAGATTTTACTAAAATTTTTTCCCTTTTTGACACTGGCAGTCCAATTAATTTGATAAAGCGGTCGTACGTGCCGGAAGCAAAAATAAATCATTACCCACTGAAAGGCAGATACCGGGGTATTGGAGGGCGTGATTTAAATATTATCGGTGAAGTTATTTGCACCATTGAATTTAAAAATGTTATTAATGAAATTAAAGTCTATGTTCCGCCGGATGAAGAAATGACCGTGCCAATTATCCTCGGTCGTGATTTTCTTAAAGTTTTTGATATTCATTTAATAAAACGTAAATTGAAATATGATAAAGTTGACTTATTTTCGCTGAATAAAAACATCTGCACCTCACCACCGACTGACTTATTCAAAACTTTACGTGAGTTCAATCTTTTGGCTGAAAGCAAACTACAGAATAGAATAGAAGCGCAAAATATATCAGACGTGAATGCAATGATCGGTTCGAACGAAAGTACTCATTCCGAATTACCAGACATATTTAATATAGAAACTGTCTGCAGTGCCGTAGATTTAGACGTAAACTGTAAGCTAGAGCCAGACCGAAGGGTACAAATAAATGACCTGGTTCATGAAGCTTATATTGAACCTGGTAGTGTTCCTGTTGAGCCCTTTAAATATATGATGAAGATTCATCTAACCTCTGACGTCCCGTTCCACTGCGCGCCTAGACGCCTGTCCTTTTCGGAAAAGAAGATTGTTCAGGATATTATAAGAGATTTAGAAGCTGATGGAATAATCAGACCGTGCAATTCGCCATACGCTTCGCCTGTAGTGCTCATTAAGAAGAAGAACGGGCAAACTCGGTTGTGTGTCGACTATCGGGGATTGAACAAATTAACGGTTCGCGACAATTACCCTTTACCCCTCGTCGATGATTGCATAGAGTATTTAGAAGGTAAAGAAATGTTTTCAGTCCTAGATTTAAAAAGCGGGTTTCACCAAGTTGATATATCGCCAGAGTCAGTCCCGTATACCGCATTTGTAACGCCTAGTGGGCAATACGAATATTTAAAAATGCCGTTCGGTCTTAAAAATGCCCCAGCCGTTTTCCAACGTTTTATAAACAATATATTTAAGGATTTAATTGACGAAGATAGTTGTGTATATGGATGACATATTAATAGCGACAAAAAAATTTGAGGAACATAAAATCATTTTACACACGTTACTGAAACGAATTAGTTATCGGGGTCTTAAGTTGAATCTATCAAAATGTAAGTTTGGCTATTATGAAATAGAATACCTAGGATATTCCGTATCTGCCAGTGGTATTACATTGAGTGAGTCCCATGTCAGAGACATCCAGAAATACCCCGTACCTAGCAATCAGAAAGAGTTGCACTCTTGTATAGGATTGCTTTCGTACTTCAGACGTTTTGTTCCGTCGTTTTCCAAAGTTGCTAGACCGCTACTTAATTTATTGAAAAAAGGTACAGAATACAAATTCGACGAAAATTGCAGATTAGCATTCGATGAATTAAAAAGTAAGCTAATAGAACCCCCTGTGCTTGCCATCTATAATCCAGAGCGAGATACCGAATTGCACTGTGATGCAAGTGCCACCGGTTTCGGCGCCGTACTATTACAAAGACAGACGGACGGAAAACTTCACCCAATAGCATATTTTTCGAAAACCACCACGACTGCAGAATCTAAATATCACAGCTTCGAGTTGGAAACACTCGCTATCATTTATGCCTTGCGACGATTCAGAGTATATCTGGAGGGAATTCCATTCAAGATCATAACAGACTGCAACTCGCTCGCCATGACCTTGCAGAAGAAGCAAATAAACAGTCGCATTGCAAGATGGGCCCTTGAGCTAGAAAATTATAACTATAAAGTTATACACCGCGGTGGTGCCTCCATGGGGCATGTTGATGCCTTAAGTCGTTGCCAGATAGCTGCCGTAGATACGAATGAGGTTGATTTTCAAATACAAGTTTTGCAAGAGCGTGATGAAAAGATTAGGCGTATACGTGAACTTTTAGAAAAGGGAAATGTTGAGGGATTTGACTTAGTAGACGGCCTTGTTTGTAAGATATCTAAAAACGGTCGAAAGGTTTTATACGTTCCAGAGGAACTAGAAAATAATGTAACAAGATTAATGCACGAAAAGGCCGGTCATCAGGCAGTGGACAAGACTTATGATAAGATATTTCAATACTATTGGTTTCCGGGTATGCGTCAGAAAGTAGAGCACTTTATAAAAAATTGCCTAAAATGCATTATGTACGCCATGCCTATTCCATCCCGACAGAGACATTTGTACAACATTCCGAAAAAGCCAATTCCGTTCGATACCTTACACATCGACCACTTTGGTCCCCTGCCGTCAATAAAATCGAAAAGAAAATATATTTTGGTGGTAGTTGACTCTTTCACAAAGTTCGTGAAGCTATATCCAACAAACTCAACAAGTACTCGTGAAGTGACTGCGGCGCTTGAAAAATACTTTAATTATTACAGTAGGCCGAGGCGAATTATCTCAGACAGAGGCAGCTGTTTTACCTCGCTCGAATTTGAGGAATTCCTAATGAAACGAAACATAAATCATGTCAAGGTTGCCGTTGCCTCACCTCAGGCCAATGGTCAGGCCGAAAGAGTTAACAGGGTAATTAAAACAATGTTGGGGAAGCTTAGCGATTCAATAGATCATGCGGATTGGTCTGGTAAGTTGTTGCAGGTAGAATACGCAATCAACAATTCCATTCATAGTAGTACAAAACAGACTCCTAGCATGTTGCTTTTCGGCGTGGAGCAAAGGGGAGAGGTTATTGATGAATTTTCCGAATACTTCCAGAATAAGATAGCTGACGGAACTGGTAGGGATCTAGACACCCTTCGGTCTTGCGCTGCTGCGTCAATAAAGAGCATGCAGGATTACAACCAGGCTCATTTTTTAAAGCATAGCAGAGATGCCGAGAAATATAATGTTGGTGATTTCGTTGTAATTCGAAATGTAGATACTGCCGTTGGAACCAATAAAAAGTTTGTCCCAAAGTATAAAGGTCCTTATGCTGTTCACAAGGTATTAGGAAATGACAGATACGTTATCCGAGACATAGATAATTGTCAATTGACTCAACTGCCATACGACGGCGTCGTTGAAGCAAATCGAATGCGTCAATGGATAGAGCCCAGTGAAAGGATTGAACTCCACGAAAGGAAAGGCAATGCTAAAATAGGCATAGACTAATTTTAAGTTAATAATTCGTTGATCGAGGTCGATCAAGAGTCAGGTTGGCCGAGCTGTAAGACGAACAAATGTATACTTTGCTAAGAAAATGTCATGCAAGATCTATCCAGCCATATATTGTACTTTTATACAAGTTATATTAAGATTGATGGCAACTCTGTTTTGAAGGGTGTTCAGTCTGTAATACAACCCTGTAAATACTTCCGGCCATTACATTTTGATCAAGCCAATAGCCAGCAAGTTGCGAGAAATAAAAAATCGAAGTTTTTCTAAGGAATCTAAACATTTGTAGTTTAAAATGTAGGTAATATTTTTTCTCAATAACTATAAATACAGGTTTTTCAA